AATCGAGGTGTTCTGCCACAAATTTCTAAATCGCCCATGTTGTCTGGCAGTAGTGAGTATGGTTTTACACCACTTTGAGCAATATTCCAGCAATGTCATGGCGGAGACACCAGAAATGGGCTTCACACATTGTACCCATGTGGGGAATTGAACACCGGGTCTTCGGCATGACAAGCGAACCCTTTAACCACTAGGCTACCCCACCGCCCCCTTGGTTGAATGAGTGCTCACTATATCAACCATTGGTCTGATGCTGGTTCAGTGATCACCACCATAATGTATTGCTGGAATATTGTGATTGGGGGGTTAAACATCAAAGTAACAGTGACGCTCTGCTATATGGTTTTGAAATCATAACTGTGTATTTGTGAGTGAGTGAGTTTAGTTTTACGCTGCACTCAGCAATATTCCAGCAATAGGGCGGCGGTCTGTAAATAATCAAGTCTGGACCAGACAATACAGTGATCAACAGCATGAGCATCGATCTGTGCAATTGAGAACCGATGACATGTCAACCAAGTCAGTGAGCCTGACCACCCGATCTTGTGAGAAGCATGGGTTACTGAAAATCAATATTCTAACTCGGACCTTCACGGGTCTGTGTATTTATGAGTAGCTAACCAACTGTGATGACACCAGGTGTTCATGTCCCGCCCCACAAGTGGCACCTACGACAAATACGTGCAGCGCGGAGTCTGATCCTCATCTGAAAAACAACATGGCAACATATTCTACAAGTGAGAAAAGAAAAATGCAACCGATATAATTTTATCAAATTTGGAAATGTCCCCAACACATGTACCGGAATACCTCTTGAAACTTTACTGAGGCCCTCAACGGCGAAGTCCTGATCAAACAACTTGTGTCATTTGTCTAAGATTAATTGTACCTGGAAGATCTTATTTTTTTCTGTTTTCACAAAATAAAAATTTGCATATGTTTACATATTTCTCAATACCTATAAAGTACTTACCCCTATCTGTAAATAATGCAAAGGAGTCAGCTAAAATCCTTGTCCTCTCATTGGTGATGACAAGACTAGATTACTGCAACAGCCTCTTTGCTGGTGCAACAAAATCCCAGATTGGTAGACTGCAACGGGTTCAGAACACAGCAGCAAGAATAGTCACTCTCTCACCCAAGTCAGCTCACATCACCCCTGTGTTGAAGGACCTCCACTGGTTGCCCATTGCACAGCGCATCACTTTTAAACTCTGCATTCTCGCCTTCAGATGTCTCTCTGGAAGTGCACCTCAATATCTGTCCGACCTCCTTTCTCCTTACAAACCAACAAGATCCCTCCGCTCCGAGAAACATAATCTTCTGTGTATTCCTAAAGTCAGAACAGTTAAATTTGGTCAAAGAACTTTCTCTTATGCTGCAGCCTCAGAATGGAATCATCTCCCACAACATTTGAGAGAAATGACAGAACTTTCAACCTTTCGAACATCGCTAAAGACCCACCTTTTCCAAAAAGCCTTTTCGTCCTGACATCAGCGCTTTGAGCATGCATTGTGCATGGAAATATGCGCTTTATAAATGAACTATTATTATTATTATTATCTATTTCGATACTTACGATGTCATCCAAGTAGTACAATGGATGATCATGGGAAGGACTTTGTAACTTTACTATAGTTGCAGTGAAACTTTAGTTGTCAAGAAATCAAGAAGAAATACCAACCAGATGATTACTGCAGGGATCACTTACTGGTGTAAAGTGTCATTCCTCCGTCCCCAAGTTACTCCTACAGTAGTTACAAAGAAATCGTTAATAAATGTGAAAACATGTTTTTTAAATCATTCCCTTTAAAAAATGGTGAGTGAAATAAATGATGAAGAAAGTAATGAATGTTTTTCCTCACTGACATAGTAAAAAGAAATAGTGGAAAAAATAACGTTTTTCAAAATTTTAATTTTTATGTAAAAAAACCTACGTCTCTGATGTTTTGGAATATTACCATGCTGGTAGTTTCTTGTAGGTGCTGTCACTTCTTTCAGTGCAATCTGAAAATGTCTTGAGGTTTGAAACTGCATTTGTATGAGGCCAGATATGTTTTATTTTTGTGTTTATTGATGCATTGACCTTAAAATTTATCAAAGTGCAAAAAAAAATAGAATTGAAAACCAAAATCTTTCCATATTAATGTGAGGTGATGAGCCGGGAAAACTGAAAAAATCTCCTTACCAGTGAATCTGTGGAATAATGACTAACCTTTTGCTGGAACTGATGTTAGAAGTACACATGGTGAACACAGGTTAGGATTGGTCTTGTAAGAAGAGAATAATAGCATTGGAGTGGTCAAACTCGCTCACTTGGGTGATGCATGTCATTGTATCCCAGTTGCATTGATTGTGCTCATGATGTCGATCTCTGGAATATCTGGCCCTGACACTTTAATTTACAGACTTGCTACATATAGAAATGGTGGCAGCAAAACAGACAAATTGGTTTAAGAAAACCAGGAGTACAGGCGTGGCACTGATAAAGCCAAAGGTCAGAACCAAGATAAAACAATGATTGAATCAACAGTCATCAGATCCTGTCAGGGCAAGGGGTAGCACTTTCTGAACAGCATCCCGTAGGGGTTTTGACATCTGGGATATTTATGCCTGGTTGTTGATACATATGAATGAGCTATATACCTGGAACACTGCTGAGTGCAGCATAAAACAACAAGCCAAAACCAAAATCTATAAATAAAATCAATGAAAAATATTTCCATGGTCCTTAAGCTGTTTTTACTAATCCAACTGTATCCGAAACATATGTTTATGAATCACTATCAAATAGTGAGTGTGAGTTTAGTTTTATGCTGCTTTTAGCAATATTCCAGCAATATCATGTCAGGGAACACCAGAAATGGGCTTCGCACATTGTCAAACGTGGGGATCAAACCTGGGTCTGCTGTGTAACGAGTGAATGTTTTAACCACTAGGCTACCCCACCACACCCACTAGCAAATAACAAGTGTACGCAAATGTTAAAGGTATCTCTTGTTCCTCTTAACACAAACACATGCAAAGGCAAGTCAAACATTCACATAAACTAACAGGGAATAGATATAGTCACAATACAAGCAACTGAAAAGGTTTCCATTGTCATAATCCAGTGTTCTATTCCAACTACATTGTAGAACTAAAATGTGTGAATCTATAAATATGAAAAAAATAGGGAATTACATCAGTCTAAGTAAAGTTAGGCTCAGTATTATTCTTTACACTGCTATACTGAGTCTAACAAAACCTTGTAGAAGGTCGCATCAGCTAACCTTTAGGACTGACCAATCAGAACACAGCTTGCGAAAGTTAACATTTGCACATACCATTTGAACCTTTACCTAAAAAACTCGAATAATTCCGAATGCTATTTTCCGCACGATCGCTTCCGAGTGATACACGCAATGAGTAAACAGTCCCTGAAAATAGCGTTTTTGTCAATATTCAAGGATGTCATATTGCGAAAATATAAGCAGACAGTAACCATGTCATTAGAAACCCATAAGCGTATATACTGCAGGTCAAATATATGTGTTTTATGCGGATTTTCGTTTGTTGATAGATCAGTGTCGCGACCAGGAAGAGAAAATTCAAAACCATTTTGTAATTCCCGCCGAACCCTAACAAGTAGTCATTGTCTGATTGGTTAACTCTGTTCGTCCGTCTCTATGGACGGTCATAGGTCACTCAAAGGTTAGCTGACGCGACCTTCCTCGCGGTTTTGTTAGACTCAGTATAGCAGTGTAATGAATAATACTGAGCCTAAGTTTTCTCAGACTGGGAATTCAAATCAGACATTATATGAACATTATTACATCACTGAAATAGCTGAAAGAATGTCTTTATTGAAATATGTATGCATGCTACCAGCTCTGATAAATCTGAAACCTCTGCAGAAATGATAAACCCATGCTACATTGATTTCCCTTTAAGATAATGATGATTGTATGTTTAATGAACTTAATATTATTGAAATTTTACTTGATAGAATTTGAAATCTGTCACCCATAACACTTGTATCATGTAACTGCAGACTGATATGCACCAGAGGCCTTAATATTTCTCACACAAATTCCCCTCTGTGAAAGCAAACCGTCTTGCAAATTGGGTATCTAATCCTTTAGGTATTGTATCAAACATAATTTAGCATTTTGTAGCTGTGTACCTTCCATTTGATCAGAAGATGAGTTAAAGTTTAATTCACTAAAAAACTTTAGAATAATTAGTATTGATTATTTTTTATAATTCTATTTTACATTGTCAGGTAAGAAATATGAACAATTGTTTGTTGCCACCTACAAGAAAATGGGAAGCAGTTTTCTTACTTAAGTTACCCCCTTATTGGTTGGGTTTTGGGTCCAAAATTGGTCCTCAGGAATTGTTCCAAAAGGATCAGGTAATCAGTGACTCAGTGACTTGGTGACTTGATCCTACGCCAACAGTGGATTGTTGCTCATGATGTCAATCACTGGATTGTCTGGTCCACACTCAGTTATTTACAGGCGTAACTCTTATAGCTGGAATACTGCTGCGCCTGAGATTAAGTGACAAACAGTTAATGATATGCTAGTTGCTTAGATTGATGCTCATGCTGTTGATCACTGGATTGTCTGGTCCACACTCAGTTATTTACAGGCGTAACTCTTATAGCTGGAATACTGCTGCGGCTGAGATTAAGTGACAAACAGTTAATCATATCCCAGTTGCTTAGATCGATGCTCATGCTGTTGATCACTGGATTATTTGGTCCAGACTTGATTATTTACAGACCGCCACCATATTGCTGGAATATTGCTGAGTGTGGCATTAAACAACACAACCAACAAAGAGTTAGTCATTTGGAATCATTTAGAATCATCACACAGGTGCATTTTATAAATGTAGTTCATGAACAATTCCCTTCAGCAAGAATTCCCTGTGTTCTATGCATGATGTGCATGTATGATTTTTCTGTGATAACATGTTTTACCTTGCTAACATCGTGTGTTTGTGTTTGTCAGTGTAAGGAGCTCGCTAGTTAAGAGCGATTCAGTTGGGTAAGTGAACACTGAAAAAGCTTTGCTTGGAGCTGGTGATGTTTGTTTTGCATGAAATTATATGTTGCACGCTTTTGTTGTATATTTCACATGCTTTATTGATTTGTTTACAATTTTATTACAGGATAGGTGGTGTTTGGTTAAAATAACATTTTTGTATCATGGTCAATATTTTTTGGTGTTTCTCACGCTGAATTTTTTACATTCATTATTGGTGCACTGTGGCTTTGATTCATATTGGTTCTGCTCTACTTTTGCATTACAGGTGCCATGAGTGGCGTAGCAATTTCTGTGCAGAGTTGCTTCCCTTGGGCATGCCTGAAACACTTAATCATGGGTTCGAATCCTGGTTTGGCCAGGTTATGTTTCTAGGTTTGTCAGCACCAACCCCATGGTCGTGGTTTCGCCAAAGTGGGAGATGTGAAAGAGCTTCACCACAACTGGCTATTCTCCCTCATCAAGCTGATATACTGTGATTTTGCTGAAATACTGTCCAGAGCAGCAACCCTTGAAGGTCCGGGTTTAGAATGAACCTTCAGTAACCCATGCTTGTCGTAAGAGGCGACTAATGGGATCAGGTGGTCAGGCTCGCTGGCTTGGTTGACACATGTCATCGGTTCCCAGTTGCGCAGGTCGATGCTCATGCTGTTGATCACTGGATTGTCTGGTCCAGACTCGATTATTTACAGACTGCTGCCATATAGCTGGAATATTGCTGTGTGTGGCGTAAAATTAAACTCACTCACTCACTCCAGAGCAGCATTAAAGCAAACTCGGAATTATTGTGTGCTTAGTAATTTATCAATGTTCTAGATTTGTGTAGATTTAAGAGGAACTATCACTTAGTTTGATCATTAATCTTGAACACTTATAGCTTTTGACACATTGCTAAGATATTGTAAATGGTATTTTTAAAGTTCATATGAAAATTGTATTGAAATACTATTAAGCATCCATTTTGCTTTATATATTGCACATAGAGATAATTGATACAGTTGATGCCAGTCACTGGATCATGTGATCCAGACACAAATATTTATAGTCTGTCATACAGCTTTAATAGGCACTGATTGCGATGTGAAACAAGAGACAAACAAATATTGGATACTGACCATGATATTCCTCGCTCTTGGAAATCAATTCTGCGTTATGGAGAAAATGTAACCTCATGTGTTCCATCTTTATAGATGTATTATCAGAATAAATGAGAAAAATGTGTTATGCATTTGACATTTATCTTTATATCAAATTGCGTCAAATATAATATTACCCTTCTATTGAGAACATGCAGAGCAAGCACCTCATTGTTTTCAATACATTGATTTAATGGAGAAAAACACAATTTTGTCAAATATTAAGCGTCGTCAGTATTCTGTTTAATGTCTGCACATTACTCCCATGATGCACCATAAATCATCACCCCTCATTATACAACGCTTGCACAAGGGTGAGTTACAGCTCTGACATTTCCAACCAATTGCCCTGCAACTGTGAATTGTAATCTTCTAATCCTTTTAAGTAATGTTTGTAAACCATTAGATTTCCCCTGCCTATCCACATTTTATTTATTATCTCAGCCGATGACAGTTCCCAAAGTCATCAACACCAAACACCAGTTATTTAGATTTTGATATTGGAGAGGATACGCTATTGCCTAAATATACCTTCCTGTACTGTGAAGTGCAACAATCCCTACAGTAAGTGCTCCAACCCTTATGATGAGTGCTGTTGGAGTTTTCTGTACAGCTACAAAAATATTTATTCTGTAGTCTTGTCTGTTAAAGCCCATATTTCCGAAACAATATAATGAAAATGTGTGGAGATGATATTTCGCTTCTATTCTCGAGAGGGAGATTTGCTTTTGATGGCTCTTTCAAACCCCAAGCTTGATTAGTGTTGGCAAAAGCATTCAGATGTTTGATCATTTGCTCAGTGGGTCTGGTGACAGACCTTATCGTTGATAATAAAACGCCTCTTAATTGAATCTGCCAGAATAATTGCTCTGGACAGTTTTGAGTCTTTGTTGTCAGGATTTCACCGGCAGGAATGGTTATGAATTGTGTGCAGTATGCTGATTTTGTTTCCGAATGATTATATTTCAATTGGGCTTCCATTTAAGCTTCTTTTTCAAGCCATCTTCAATGTCCATAACTATAAACTTGGCTTGTATCTTTGGTCCAGTTTATTTCTTTAGAGCTCAGGACATTACCCTCTAATTCTCCCAAAAGCTTCTCGATCATCGTAACAGTTTACACATGTGCACAAGGAATAAGGAGCATATGAATCATCATACAAGTCATATCAAGTCATGTCACATTGCAAGATGATATTCTTTATGCGTTCAGAATGTTCCTCTGTTATTGTAGAACAATAAATTCTGTGTTTTTCAGCAATGTTGTTACCGATTTTATATTCAGAAGAGGCTTTTGGGAGATGAGTGTTATCGTTATGTAGGAATGTTCCATTAACCTGTTGCTGCTTTATCAGGAGATTCAGTGCTGGAATGTAGTGAGATGTTATGACAGACAATCTCAATCTGTTGAAAAGTGATTGAATGGTGTCTTCTCAGTTTACAACAATTGTTAAAGAGGGTGTTAAAAGCAAGTGCATAAAAATGATACACAGTGCTTTAGATATTCATGACAGGGCGAAAATATAATTAATTGCTAGAAAACTGAAATTTGACAGTTCTAAAGCAGATTTTACATTGACATGTTGTTATGAATTATGTTATGTTCTGAGTCCATGTTTTATTAAGTCCATTTGTCATGGGTGAAAGGAAGAGTATTTGTCAGTTTTATTGCACTTTGAATTATAACACATTCGGCTTATTGATCAAATCATGAATTAAATGAAAACAGACTGACCTGAGTTTTAAGTAGGTGTAGTTTTTGAAATTTAAACTGCTTCATTAGCTGATGCATCAATGTAAGTTTGACAGAAGAGATGATTTATTCGAGATGTATGCATTCATTCGTATCTTTTGATGTTGGAATGAAAAAAGACATTAAACAAAACCTTGTTTCAAGATTTGTGTTTGAGATTAAAGCATGTCCTTTTTTCATCAGATTTGATGACCAAAGTCAACTGGAAGCCATCATTGTGATTGAGGAATTCTGTAAGGAGTTGTCAGCCATTGCTTTTGTGAAGCATCATGCCGCAGTGACCAGAACCTAGGAGGAGTACAGTGTCCATGACCTTAGGGAGGACAGTGACCAGGACCTCGGAGGAGGACAGTGACCAGGATCTCGGAGGAGGACAGTGACCAGGTCATTGGACAGTGTCAGGGTCACTGTTGTGGTCAAACACTCCGTTACTGTGACAGTGCTTCTTCAAGGAAGGTGAAGGATATCTTACTCATCATACAAGATTAATGTCATTGATGATGATGGCCCTCGAGGGCAAATGCAGAACATGTTGCAAATGGTGTTCTCCAAACTTCTGTTTCCTTAATGGCTCATTGTATTGGTAATCATTTAATAATTTCATGATGACATTGAATTTCTTCTAATACTTGCAACAATTATGGCATTTCAGAATGCATGTTCTCCTTTCATTTACAATCAGGCTACGGAAATGTTGAGACAATAACTGTATCAAGGTGAATTCTTTCACCACAATACCACAGTCAATCATTTGTGTCAGATGGTTTCATTTCTGTCACAAGAACGTTATAGAATCTCATAAAGGTATCAAATGACAATAGTAAACCTGTCATTACCAGTTTGGTGTTCTTCAACTTATTTTGAGAAGTATATGTCGAAAATGTCAGAGACAAAAGTACGGAATAGATATATAAGTGTATATGTTTGTCTCCTTTCACATGCACACTGGGTTAGACCATTTGGTATTGTCCACATGTTGCCAGATTCCTTGTTATCCTATGTAGTTATGTTATATACAGTCTATGATGGGGTACAGGTGGGTGAAATGTATGATGTCCACCCCTGCCTGAAGTATTATTGTTAGATTAATATAACTCTTGCAATACACTGATAAGATGTACTGCTCCTGTGAAATTCCTGCCCCAGCTCATCCAGTCCATTGCTCTGTTCTATTTGGATAGTAGTCCATTACACAGCAATCTCATCCCAAAGATGATCTTACATTAACATAGTGATAGCTAGAGCACCAAGATCACTTGCAGGAATGGTGCCCATGTCAAGTTTGAAAAGGCTGTATACAAGGACATGTTTGGGATGGGAACTGTTGTCTCCAGTCATGTTATGGACCTATTGAGCGTTTTATTTCAAAACAAGATCCTTCAAGATACAATCATTGTCTGTGAAAATGCCTGAGTATTAGTATATTATTGAACGTCAGAGTATATGAACAGAAATGTTCAGCACTTCATATAAAGACATCACTATGATTTTATTGTCCTTCACGGCAGCATTGATGAATGTTGGATTCATTGATCACCGCTTCATTCCTAATGTTTGAAAGTGGGTATGTGTTGCTATGAATGTTCTCAATGATATCAGTGTTCTTCCAGGTGGGTGCCTTAGTTTTGATCCAGTTATCAAATGCAGCAGTCTGCAGGACCAATATCAGTTATGCATTCACTTGCCACTGCATCATATCACAACGACGAAGACTCTTTATGACTGATCCAAGTTCCATATCTGTCGGTTATATGTCACATTGACGCGTGAACCACACTTCTAGATTATGTATATAGTTTATGTCCTTTGTTATCAGAGTGTTAATAATTTCACTTCTATTCATTGTTGTGTGTTTCATTATGAGTGAGTATATACGTGACCTTTGATTAAGAACTGTCCATCCTTGACAAACTGAACTTCAGGAATGTACAGCCATTACTCATGGAGCTGACGCAAGGTATCGTACTGATTTGTTGGTTGTTAGTTTCAACAATGCTGGAATATTGCTGAGTGCGGTGTAAAACTAAACTCACTCACTCACTATTATCCCAATAATGCAGTGAAATATGATAATTATCAAGCCAGTAATCACTTATGACACTGGCTTCAGTATATGGTGTATCCATCTCAATCATGAATGACATTTGAAAGGCGTCTGCTTGTACCACTGATCAGACGTCTAACTCTCAACATTGGAATCCTCTGCTGTTCCGCCATACATTTTCCAGCAGTAAATGACACGTTTGGATTCCATTGTAGGTCCTTAATGTTTTCGAAATGAATTTTGGTGTCTTATTGATGCAGTTCCATCAGATCAGATCAGCTCCATTTGGCATGAGTACAACTGACACAACTTACAGATAAGATGAGGTTCTACTGTTTGTCATTATTTGGGGGAAATGAGTAAGGAACCTAACTAAAGCTCATGTGTATATTGTAGGATCCCCTTATGAACGTTAAGACAATGTGAGCGGTTGTTTGACATTATTATTATTTACAGGTTTTATCATGTTTATCCCTGGTGTGCCAAATCAACTCATGTGCAATATGTTTCGTTGGTCCATGTCGGTCTTCCAATAATGACCTGTTTTATTTTACACGTACATGCACTGCATGTACAGTTGTAATCTGTTTATTTCAGTGTTCTAATTACCACATACAGATTAATGTCTGGGGACACACCTTTTGATATTCTTGGGTTTGGTGTCAATCCTAATTGGGATTTATTTTCATGACAGTCAGCATGTCTAGCAAATAATCGTATGTGAGTGGTAAAACTTGAAGAGAAACTATTCCCAACCATACCTAGAAATTTATCTAGGATTCCACACTGATCCCCCTTTGGGAAGAAAATGGAGGAAATTGTTATTTTGTTCAAAATTGAATTCTCTATATCATTCCTTAATTTCCAAATTTCAAAAATAATATGTTGACACTGAATTTTGACATTGCTTTCAGTGAAATAATTTGGAATTAGGCATTAAGGCTTCATCTTTTATTTTGGTCCAGTTCTTAATGAAATACAAGTCATCTGACAAGCCATAATGCTGAGTTAGTATTGATGTAACACCCAGAATATGGGGAAAACTGGACCATTTCATTTCAGTCAAGATTTAAGATATAAAAATGGATATTATTCCTATTTCAGATTACATGTAATAATTCAGTAACTTTAGATTTTGTTTACCATGTCTCAAGACAATTAACCACTGTTCCACACATCTGAGTACACATTGTGTCTCAAGCCACTTATAAATTTTAGATGTGTATTTTAATATTATTGTAGCTCGCATTGTACACTGTGATCTTCATTACTTCACAATGGTGCTAGTCCTTACTGGTTTTGAAGCAATGTTATTTGAATAAGATCAATCACGCATAGTGATTTGATTCCTTTCAGAGAAAACCATGCTTGAATTTATATAAAAACTGTATGTATGATTTTTAGAAGATAAAATATCTTCACTGTTCCAAAGATGTATCAAGTCCAATGTTTCCTTCTGAGGAGTTTTGTTTGTGCATGGAAAAGGCATAGAACCATGTAAACTAGCCTGAGTTATACCCAGCTATTAGCCTACAGGTTGTGTTATGGTTCAGTCAGTAGAAGCTAATCTGGAAAGGACATATATTTGTCTTCAGAGGATGTAGATAATGTTATTAGCTGTTACTGAGTGTTTCTACATTGTTCTGATCGGTTGAAGGAAATGTGGTCAGCACATGGACTAGTCTTCAAAGGGATATAGTCAGTGATGTTTGTTATTGGGATGAAGATCTTAAGAATACCTAATGTAACATGAATGAATAAATTGTGACATATTGGGGTTGCTCTTTTGCTTTGAATATTCCGTCTTGATCAGTTACAACTGTTTATAAATACTTTGAACATTTTCTACTCAATCGCTGTTGCTGAATATTTGACTTGAGGCAACAAACTTGTGATGATTATACCATTTTTGTACGAACCAGGAACAAAAACTCACTTTCTTAAAACAGAGTCTGTTGTACCAAAACTTGCGGAACAGATGTTTATCTTGCTGGGCCTTCATGAAGATTCCCAGGATCATGTTTTAGTGGAGATAGCTAGATTGTCAACTCTGACCTATACTTGATGTCGTCTGGCTGCCCACTTAAAAAGGATCACATACATGGCATTTCACAATGTGCAGTTATGAAAGGTGATTTTCTCTTGAAACAAAACTGGAGTGTGGAGTTTGTATTTCTTCTGAGAATAGAATTGTTTTTTGATAATAAAGTGAGCGCGCATGTGTGTGGAGTTTACTGAATAGGGACAATAATCTTGAAATCCACGATTTACTTCAGTTCACTTTAAATCTTAAGATGTGGGAACATTAGATTAACACTTTCAGTATGACAATGGCTCAGGATCTGGTAGCTTAACACGGACATAGTTTCGTAAAGGCTTTTCCTTTCGGTCTTCATCGTAACATAAAGCGCCCGTAGAAGAGTCCAATCGGGAACACAATTTTTACAGTGACATGCGATCTTTTCAGAAGACTGATATATATTCTGATGAAGTAGTTGGAATAGTCTCAGCATATGCACTAGACACCTATAAGATCGCATACCTGCAAGCCTGTCATGTTCTTTAAGAGTAAAAACACCCACATGAAACCAGACTAAACCATCTACACATACATAAAACGCTATGTACCGTTTACTTCCAGAGAATAAACTCGCAAAACGTTTAAGAGATTCGATACTATTACTCTCACAAAGCTCCATGAAGGTTTATGATTGTGTCCCAATAAAAGCCCACTTTTCAAACGTTAATGAATAACTATGACGCAATGGTCATACATTGTGCCCCAACAAAAACGATTGTTGCTTCCCCCGTGATGACGTAACATGAAAGAAGAAACAGAATACACAACAATCAACACTGTTGGATTGCCACACATCCCTGTTGGGCAAGGGAGCACGAGTCTAACCCTAACATATAGACCAGGGCTTGTCAGCACAAGACGTCACCTTTTCTCTGTAGAGGGTATTACAAATTGCTGATTGAACGAAAAGATGGCTGACATACATGAAATATTATGTCATTATCAAACAAGCTTTGTTGCCTGCTTTCTGTTCAGTCTCCATAGGGCGTCAGGTTTCTTATCAGAAGGTGAAGTTGTGATGTTTTCATGGTGCATCAGGGAGATATATTTGTTGAAGGTAAAGGTTGATATAGGCACACAAAACCTTTATATGTTCAACAGAATGGCCGCAGTTTTAATTTAATATATGAAATATCATCCTAGTTGGTTAATCGGTACTTGGCGACACCTCGTAATCTAAAAGCTCTTGGTGATGAATTCTGTTCCATCGATACTGTGACAAGAACACTGAATACCATGTTACCATGACGCTTTTCGAACTCAAACTGTGTATTATTCAGAGATCTTTGTGATCCTGTATTTACTATAAGTAGATATTTTACTCCATGGCAATGTCAGATGAGGTGTGTTTCTTTCCGGAACTCCGCAACATTCCAGCTATATGACGGCTGTCTGCAAACCATCGAATCAGGACCTGGGTGCTGAAGACGAATAATCACATGCATCTTCAGGTCATATACATGATACGAGTGAGTGTGTGTCTTGGGTCAGCAGTATTCAGTTATATCACAGCATGGCATCTAAAAGCCTGATTAGATGCAGTTTGCCACTACGCTAAAACCCACGAGCACAGATTTGATGTGACAGACCATGAAATTATTGAAATCAGTGATTCGAATCAACAGTTTTAAGTTTCTGGCACCGCAAGTGAGGCAGCTCTACACATGACAACACAGCGCCACAGACAACAGTGCTACCCGTGTCTCCCTGGCTGTACATGTATTTACGAAAAGAGGAAATAAACTAAAAGGAGTTCGTGATATTTTTTGGTCTGTTTCTTTCGAGAAAGGAGATAGACATACTATATTTCCAGTGTATATGATGACTACGTCAAGATAGTCAGATATAATGTAATCCATGTAATCCAGTTTCTTCTACAACACCCTGTATTATGTATTATTTTAATAGGCACCTGTAACATTTAAATAGTGACATTTTTGATAAATTTTCCTCTGTGAAAGCTAACTAAGTCATTAACCATCTGGGGCGGTGGGGTAGCCTAGTGGTTAAAGCGTTGGCTCGTCACGCCGAATACCCGGGTTCGATTCCCCACATGGGCACAATGTGTTAAGCCCATTTCTGGTGTCCCCCGCCGTGATATTGCTGGAATATTGCTAAAAGCGGCGTAAAACTAAACTCAGTCAGTCAGTCATTAACCATCCGATTCTCCAGATCATATGATTATGGTGGAACCGTACCTTTCATATTTTGACCCTGTTGGCCAGATAAAGATTGATTCATAGAACACTAGCAAAGTTTAGGATAAATATAATATCATTATCGTGTTAGAAAACATCAGTTAACATCATTCGACGTTTTGTCAGACAGAATTTGTAAATCTATCAACCAACCTATAGCCTCATATCTTCTGAGCACAATGAATCGTGAAAGCCAACAGTCAGGCAAATTAACCGTCTAGAAATTTAGAGATAAAAAATATAAATTCCTACTTCCATGATTGCGGTAGAAGTGCTCCACCTATTTGTAGCTCATATCTTTGATCACGTGGAAGATCAGGTAAAGATCCTATGTTGGCCTTGAGAGACGACCCAGTGAATCAGGTTTTCAAAATCGGTGACCTGACCTATCCCAAGAGCGTGGGTCGTTGGTCATGATGTCATTCACTGGATTGTCAGGTCCACTCATCACACTGGTTCACATTTAGAACATTTTCATGAAGAGTTGCATTTGTTCTATGCCTGCAGTGAATGTGTGGCTATTCTATATTGAAATGATAACATGTATGTTTGTGCTCAGTTGGCCGAGTGAAAGTTGAAAAAGCTTTGTGTGGAGCTGGTGATATATGTGTTGTATTAACGAATATGTTGCACGCCTTTGGCGTATAGTTTACATACATTCAGTGATTTGTTGAGCATTTTCTTACATCAGAAGCTGTGTTTGGTTATGACACTTTGCCCTGTGGCTTACATTATATATTTGTTTGTGGTCGTGCTACAGGGACCGAAGATCCGACTTGAATTGATCTTCAGCAACCCATGCTTGTCAGAAGAGGCGACTAAAGGGAACGGTAGTCAGGCTCGATGACTTGTTAAATTGCATATATCGATGCTCATGATATTGATCACTGGAATGTCTGGCCCAGATTATGTACACACCATATTGCTGAGTGCAGCGTTAAATATCAAACAAACAAACTGCATCCAGGTGGCGCGGGTGGTGGTACAATTCGCTGTGTAGAGTAGCGTCCCTTTGGCACGCCTGAACCACATGGTCATGGTGTTTCCCCGGTTGTGTTTCCAGGTTGGTCAGCTCCATACCCGTGGTCGTGGGTTTCACGAAAGTGGTAAATGTGAAAGAGTTTCACCACTTGAAACAGAAACAGAAGTTTATTGTATTTCGGGGCCAAGAGGCCTAGAGTACAGTGTAAGATTCAAGTTAGGATATAAATAATTTTTAGAGCGCTATAATACATAATACACAATGCCATTGAGAATCTGGTCAAATGCAACGCGTTCTGTTTGGGATCACGCCCTCCCAGCAAAGCACAGACTCCCGTACCCCTGCCGGACCGAGTCCCATCCAGGACCCGGACCCACATCCCTACAGCCCGGCCCACACTCGCCAGCACACAGAGTCAGTCGCCCATGGTGGGCGGACGGGCAAGGCGGCCGACCCCGTGCGCCGGCGAACAGGCGCCCGACTCCGGGGGTGCGGGCCCGAATCCCGGACGGGACCCAATCCAACAAAAGCACGAGAATCCTCACCCCGGCAAGAGAGCGCAATCCCAAACATAACCTATGTTACTCTATAATCTTGCTTTGAATACTTTATACAAGTAGGTGGCTAAGCGGAGCAATATATTACTATCTGTTGTTGATAACAAGGTAATAATATGTGCAGTACATGGATGACCACAATAATACCTAGGTAGAAAATGATCCCTAATGTGAGCGTAATTTGGACATATAAACAGAACATGATATTCATCTTCTTCACCTTCTCCGCAGTACGGGCATAATACATCAGCAGGATTACAATTGTGAACATGTTTGTACTTAGTAACTTTAAAATTGTTTGAACAGCATCTGAACTTAGTCAAGGCCCTTCTTAATTGTACAGATTTTATACAAGTTAAATATCTTTCAGTATTAAGCTGAGATTTAAATGTACAATATGTTGACAGTAAAGTAGAATTACTAACATCTTGATGCCAACGTTGCCTATACATGTCTAAGACACTTTGTTTAAATTCTAACATAAATGATTTACTATTTCCAACTTCTTGGCAAATCCATACAAACCCGAAGCCATGAGAAAATAATATATCCCTAACTGCTGATGCCCAGTTTATGTAGCCTATATTATCTTGTTGCTTCATGAGTAAATAACAATGCTTAACATATCTGTTACCATTCTTACCGAGTATCCTTAACCAAACGCTTATAACTTTTAGCTGTTGATGAATATACAAGGGACGGCGTCCACATTCGCCTAAAGTTGCCAAGTTACTTGTGCGATAGCGAACTCATAAAATAAATTTACAAAATTGTGTGAGGATAATTTCTAAAACTTTTCTTTCTTTTGTACCCCAAATTTCCGAACCATATATTAAAATTGGCTGAATTTTTCTATCAAAAATATCAAAACAGGTATTAACATCCAAATTTTCATATTTCACCACTTGTGGCTTTCCTGATGTTGCTTGAATACTGTTCAAAGCAGGGTATTATCGAGGAAAATATAACCTCAAGCCTTAGACATGTATTGTTAGAATATATGAGAAATGTATTTCATGAAATTACGACTGGTGCTATCTTTCTATTCAGAACATGCAGAGAAAGTTTTCAATACATTGATCTTATGGATAAAACAGAAAAACACAATTTTGCCAATTTTAAATGCTCTCAGTATTCTGTTTAGGTCTGCACATAGCTCCCTTGATGATCATCATACCTCGTGATACAACACTAAAACAAGGGTGGGTTACAGCACACGTCCAAGCCATTGCCATGCAACTAAATTGTAATCTTCTAATCCTTTTAAGTTGAGTTTGTAAACCACTAAGTCTTCGCATGCCAATCCACACTTTATTTATTATCTTTATTCAGATTTTGAAATTGGAGAGGACACGCTATTGTATCGCTATTGTATTTTTAGTATATGTTCCCGATGCGCACCAATCCATACAATAAGAACTACAACCCTCATGATAAGTGCTATTGGATTTTTCTGTACAGAAACAAAAATATTTGTTCTGTAGTCTTGTCCGTTACAGCCCATATTTCCGACACAATAAAATGAAAACTTGTGGAGATGATATTTCGCTTTAATTCTCGAGAGGGAGATTTGCTTTTGATGGCTCTTTCAAACCCCAAGCTTGATTAATGTTGGCTAAAGCATTCAGATGTTTGATCATTTGGTCAGTTGATATGGTGACTTTATCGTTGACAGTAAAACGCCTCTTAATTGAATCTGCCAGAATAATTGCTCTGGACAGTTTTGAGTCTTTGTTGTCAGGATTTCACTGGCAGGAATGGTTATGAATTTTGCGCAGTATGCTGATTTTGTTTCCGAATGATTATATTTCAATAGGGTTTCTACTTAAACTTCTTTTTCAAGCCATCTTCAACTTGCACATTGCATTGCTGTATTATTGGTTCCGTTTATTTCTTCTTTAGAGCTCAGGACATTACCCTCTAATGCTCGCAAAAGCTTCTCGATCATCGTGACGGTTTACACATGTGCACAAGGAATAAATAGCATATGAATCATCCTACAAATCATATCAAGTCATGTCACATTGCAAGATGATATCCCTTATGCTTCCAGAATGTTTCTTTGTGATTGTAGATTGTGTTTTACAGCAATGTTGTTACCGATTTTATATTTAGAAGAGGCTTTTGGGAGATGAGTGTTAACATTATGTAGGAATGTTCCATTAACCTGTTGCTGCTTTATCAGGAGATTCAGTGCTGGAATGTAGTGAGATGTTATGACAGACAATCTCAATCTGTTGAAAAGTGATTGAATGGTGTCTTCTCAGTTTAAAAACAAGTGCATAAAAATGATACACAGCATTTTAGATATTCATGACAGGGCGAAAATATAATTAATTGCTAGAAAACTGAAATTTGACAGTTCTAAAGCAGATTTTACATTGACATGTTGTTATGAATTATGTTATGTTCTGAGTCCATGTTTTATTAAGTCCATTTGTCATGGGTGAAAGGAAGAGTATTTGTCAGTTTTATTGCACTTTGAATTATAACACATTCGGCTTATTGATCAAATCATGAATTAAATGAAAACAGACTGACCTGAGTTTTAAGTAGGTGTAGTTTTTGAAATTTAAACTGCTTCATTAGCTGATGCATCAATGTAAGTTTGACAGAAGAGATGATTTATTCGAGATGTATGCATTCATTTGTATCTTTTGATGTTGGAATGAAAAAAGACATTAAACGAAACCTTGTTTCAAGATTTGTGTTTGAGATTAAAGCATGTCCTTTTTTCATCAGATTTGATGACCAAAGTCAACTGGAAGCCATCATTGTGATTGAGGAATTCTGTAAGGAGTTGTCAGCCATTGCTTTTGTGAAGCATCATGCTGCAGTGACCAGAAGCTAGGAGGAGTACAGTGTCCATGACCTTGGGGAGGACAGTGACCAGGTCATAGGAGGAGGACAGTGTCCAGGACCTTGAGGAGGACAGTGACCAGGTCATAGGAGGAGGACAGTGTCCAGGACCTTGAGGAGGACAGTGACCAGGTCATTGGACAGTGTCAGGGTCACTGTTGTGGTCAAACACTCCGTTACTGTGACAGTGCTTCTTCAAGGAAGGTGAAGGATATCTTACTCATCATACAAGATTAATGTCATTGATGATGATGGCCCTGGAGGGCAAATGCAGAACATGTTGCAAATGGTGTTCTCCAAACTTCTGTTTCCTTAATGGCTTATTGTATTGGTAATCATTTAATAATTTCATGATGACATTGAATTTCTTCTAATACTGGCAACAATTATGGCATTTCAGAATGCATGTTCTCCTTTCATTTACAGTCAGGCAATGGAAATGTTGAGACAATAACTGTATGAAGGTAAATTCTTTCACCACAATACCACAGTCAATCATTTGTGTCAGATGGTTTCATTTCTGTCACAAGAACGTTATAGAATCTCATAAAGGTATCAAATGACAATAGTAAACCTGTCATTACCAGTTTGGTGTTCTTCAACTTATTTTGAGAAGTATATGTCGAAAATGTCAGAGACAAAAGTACGGAATAGATATATAAGTGTATATGTTTGTCTCCTTTCACATGCACACTGGGTTAGACCATTTGGTATTGTCCACATGTTGCCAGATTCCTTGTTATCCTATGTAGTTATGTTATATACAGTCTATGATGGGGTACAGGTGGGTGAAATGTATGATGTCCACCCCTGCCTGAAGTATTATTGTTAGATTAATATAACTCTTGCAATACACTGATAAGATGTACTGCTCCTGTGAAATTCCTGCCCCAGCTCATCCAGTCCATTGCTCTGTTCTGTTTGGATAGTAGTCCATTACATAGCAATCTCATCCCAAAGATGATCTTACATTAACATAGTGATAGCTAGAGCACCAAGATCACTTGCAGGAATGGTGCCCATGTCAAGTTTGAAAAGGCTGTATACAAGGACATGTTTGGGATGGGAACTGTTGTCTCCAGTCATGTTATGGACCTATTGAGCGTTTTATTTCAAAACAAGATCCTTCAAGATACAATCATTGTCTGTGAAAATGCCTGAGTATTAGTATATTATTGAACGTCAGAGTATATGAACAGAAATGTTCAGCACTTCATATAAAGACATCACTATGATTTTATTGTCCTTCACGGCAGCATTGATGAATGTTGGATTCATTGATCACCGCTTCATTCCTAATGTTTGAAAGTGGGTATGTATTGCTATGAATGTTCTCAATGATATCAGTGTTCTTCCAGGAGGGTGCCTTAGTTTTGATCCAGTTATCAAATGCAGGAGTCTGCAGGACCAATATCAGTTATGCATTCACTTGCCACTGCATCATATTACAACGACGAAGACTCTTTATGACTGATCCAAGTTCCATATCTGTCGGTTATATATCACATTGACTCGTGAACCACACTTCTAGATTATGTATATAGTTTATGTCCTTTGTTATCAGAGTGTTAATAATTTCACTTCTATTCATTGTTGTGTGTTTCATTATGAGTGAGTATATACGTGACCTTTGATTAAGAACTGTCCATCCTTGACAAACTGAACTTCAGGAATGTACAGCCATTACTCATGGAGCTGACGCAAGGTATACGTACTGATTTGTTGGTTGTTAGTTTCAACAATGCTGGAATATTGCTGAGTGCGGTGTAAAACTAAACTCACTCACTCGCTCACTATTATCCCAATAATGCAGTGATATATGATAATTATCAAGCCAGTAATCACTTATGACTCTGGCTTCAGTATATGGTGTATCCATCTCAATCATGAATGACATTTGAAAGGCGTCTGCTTGTACCACTGATCAGACGTCTAACTCTCAACATTGGAATCCTCTGCTGTTCCGCCATACATTTTCCAGCAGTAAATGACACGTTTGGATTCCATTGTAGGTCCTTAATGTTTTCGAAATGAATTTTGGTGTCTTATTGATGCAGTTCCATCAGATCAGATCAGCTCCATTTGGCATGAGTACAACTGACACAACTTACAGATAAGATGAGGTTCTACTGTTTGTCATTATTTGGGGGAAATGAGAAAGGAGCCTAACTAAAGCTCATGTGTATATTGTAGGATCCCCTTATGAACGTTACGACAATGTGAGCGGTTGTTTGACATTATTATTATTTACTGGTTTTATCATGTTTATCCCTGGTGTGCCAAATCAACTCATGTGCAATATGTTTCGTTGGTCCATGTCGGTCTTCCAATAATGACCTGTTTTATTTTACACGTACATGCACTGCATGTACAGTTGTAATCTGTTTATTTCAGTGTTCTAATTACCACATACAGATTAATGTCTGGGGACACACCTTTTGATATTCTTGGGTTTGGTGTCAATCCTAATTGGGATTTATTTTCATGACAGTCAGCATGTCTAGCAAATAATCGTATGTGAGTGGTAAAACTTGAAGAGAAACTATTCCCAACCATACCTAGAAATTTATCTAGGATTCCACACTGATCCCCCTTTGGGAAGAAAATGGAGGAAATTGTTATTTTGTTCAAAATTGAATTCTCTATATCATTCCTTAATTTCCAAATTTCAAAAATAATATGTTGACACTGAATTTTGACATTGCTTTCAGTGAAATAATTTGGAATTAGGCATTAAGGCTTCATCTTTTATTTTGGTCCAGTTCTTAATGAAATACAAGTCATCTGACAAGCCATAATGCTGAGTTAGTATTGATGTAACACCCAGAATATGGGGAAAACTGGACCATTTCATTTCAGTCAAGATTTAAGATATAAAAATGGATATTATTCCTATTTCAGATTACATGTAATAATTCAGTAACTTTAGATTTTGTTTACCATGTCTCAAGACAATTAACCACTGTTCCACACATCTGAGTACACATTGTGTCTCAAGCCACTTATAAATTTTAGATGTGTATTTTAATATTATTGTAGCTCGCATTGTACACTGTGATCTTCATTACTTCACAATGGTGCTAGTCCTTACTGGTTTTGAAGCAATGTTATTTGAATAAGATCAATCACGCATAGTGATTTGATTCCTTTCAGAGAAAACCATGCTTGAATTTATATAAAAACTGTATGTATGATTTTTAGAAGATAAAATATCTTCACTGTTCCAAAGATGTATCAAGTCCAATGTTTCCTTCTGAGGAGTTTTGTTTGTGCATGGAAAAGGCATAGAACCATGTAAACTAGCCTGAGTTATACCCAGCTATTAGCCTACAGGTTGTGTTATGGTTCAGTCAGTAGAAGCTACATCAGTTGAAGGTAATCTTGAAAGGACATATATTTGTCTTCAGAGGATGTAGATAATGTTATTAGCTGTTACTGAGTGTTTCTACATTGTTCTGATCGGTTGAAGGAAATGTGGTCAGCACATGGACTAGTCTTCAAAGGGATATAGTCAGTGATGTTTGTTATTGGGATGAAGATCTTAAGAATACCTAATGTAACATGAATGAATAAATTGTGATATATTGGGGTTGCTCTTTTGCTTTGAATGTTCCGTCTTGATCAGTTACAACTGTTTATAAATACTTTGAACATTTTCTACTCAATCGCTGTTGCTGAATATTTGACTTGAGGCAACAAACTTGTGATGATTATACCATTTTTGTACGAACCAGGAACAAAACTCACTTTCTTAAAACAGAGTCTGTTGTACCAAAACTTGCGGACAGATGTTTATCTTGCTGGGCCTTCATGAAGATTCCCAGGATCATGTTTTAGTGGAGATAGCTAGATTGTTAACTCTGACCTATACTTGATGTCGTCTGGCTGCCCACTTAAAAAGGATCACATACATGGCATTTCACAATGTGCAGTTATGAAAGGTGATTTTCTCTTGAAACAAAACTGGAGTGTGGAGTTTGTATTTCTTCTGAGAATAGAATTGTTTTTTGATAATAAAGTGAGTGCACATGTGTGTGGAGTTTACTGAATAGGGACAATAATCTTGAAATCCACGATTTACTTCAGTTCACTTTAAATCTTAAGATGTGGGAACATTAGATTAACACTTTCAGTATGACAAAGGCTCAGGGTCTAGTAGCTTAACACGGACATAGTTTCGTAAAGGCTTTTCCTTTCGGTCTTCATCCTAACATAAAGCGCCCGTAGAAGAGTCCAATCGGGAACACAATTTTTACAGTGACATGCGATCTTTTCAGAAGACTGATATATATTCTGATGAAGTAGTTGGAATAGTCTCAGCATATGCACTAGACACCTATAAGATCGCATACCTGCAAGCCTGTCATGTTCTTTAAGAGTAAAAACACCCACATGAAACCAGACTAAACCATCTACACATACATAAAACGCTACGTACCGTTTACTTCCAGAGAATAAACTCGCAAAACGTTTAAGAGATTCGATACTATTACTCTCACAAAGCTCCATGAAGGTTTATGATTGTGTCCCAATAAAAGCCCACTTTTCAAACGTTAATGAATAACTATGACGCAATGGTCATACATTGTGCCCCAACAAAAACGATTGTTGCTTCCCCCGTGATGACGTAACATGAAAGAAGAAACAGAATACACAACAAGCAACACTGTTGGATTGCCACACATCCCTGTTGGGCAAGGGAGCACGAGAGTCTAACCCTTACATATAAACCAGGGCTTGTCAGCACAAGACGTCACCTTTTCTCTGTAGAGGGTATTACAAATTGCTGATTGAACGAAAAGATGGCTGACATACATGAAATATTATGTCATTATCAAACAAGCTTTGTTGCCTGCTTTCTGTTCAGTCTCCATAGGGCGTCAGGTTTCTTATCAGAAGGTGAAGTTGTGATGTTTTCATGGTGCATCAGGGAAATATATTTGTTGAAGGTAAAGGTTGATATAGGCACACAAAACCTTTATATGTTCAACAGAATGGCCGCAGTTTTAATTTAATATATGAAATATCATCCTAGTTGGTTAATCGGTACTTGGCGACACCTCGTAATCTAAAAGCTCTTGGTGATGAATTCTGTTCCATCGATACTGTGACAAGAACACTGAATACCATGTTACCATGACCTTTTTCGAACTGAAACTGTGTATTATTCAGAGATCTTTGTGATCCTGTATTTACTATAAGTAGATATTTTACTCCATGGCAATGTCAGATGAGGTGTGTTTCTTTCCGGAACTCCGCAACATTCCAGCTATATGACGGCTGTCTGCAAACCATCGAATCAGGACCTGGTGCTGAAGACGAATAATCACATGCATCTTCAGGTCATATACATGATACGAGTGAGTGTGTGTCTTGGGTCAGCAGTATTCAGTTATATCACAGCATGGCATCTAAAAGCCTGATTAGATGCAGTTTGCCACTACGCTAAAACCCACGAGCACAGATTTGATGTGACAGACCATGAAATTATTGAAATCAGTGATTCGAATCAACAGTTTTAAGTTTCTGGCACCGCAAGTGAGGCAGCTCTACACATGAAAACACAGCGCCACAGACAACAGTGCTACCCGTGTCTCCCTGGCTGTACATGTATTTACGAAAAGAGGAAATAAACTAAAAGGAGTTCGTGATATTTTTTGGTCTGTTTCTTTCGAGAAAGGAGATAGACATACTATATTTCCAGTGTATATGATGACTACGTCAAGATAGTCAGATATAATGTAATCCATGTAATCCAGTTTCTTCTACAACACCCTGTATTATGTATTATTTTAATAGGCACCTGTAACATTTAAATAGTGACATTTTTCATAAACTATCCTCTGTGAAAGCTACCTAAGTCATTAGCCATCCGATACTCCAGATCATATGATTATGGTGGAACCGTACCTTTCATACTTTGACCCTGTTGACGACCAGATAAAGATTGATTTATAGAACACTAGCAAAGTTTAGGATACATACGATATCATTATCGTGTTAGAAAATGATGATTGTATGTTCAGTTAACTTAACATCATTCGACGTTTTGTCAGACAGAATTTGTAAATCTATCAGCCAACCTATAGCCTTATATCTTCTGAGTACAATGAATCGTGAAAGCCAACAGTCAGGCAAATTAACCGTCTAGAAATTTAGAGATCAAATATAAATTCCTATTTCCATGATTGCGGTAGAAGTGCTCCACCTATTTGTAGCTCATATCTTTGATCAGGTAAAGATCCTATGTTGGCCTTGAGAGACGACCCAGTGAATCAGGTTTTCAGAATCGGTGACCTGACCTATCCCAGGAGCGTGGATCGTTGGTCCTGATGTCATTCACTTGATTGTCAGGTCCAGATTAAGTTATTTAGAGGTCGCTGTCAAATACCTGGAATACTGTACAACTTGCCGATGATCACAAGCCAAAAGAAACTCCACTCATCACACTGGTTCACATTTAGAACATTTTCATGAAGAGTTGCATTTGTTCTATGCCTGTAGTGAATGTGTGGCTATTCTGTATTGAAATGATAACATGTATGTTTGTGCTCAGATGGCCGAGTGAAAGTTGAAAAAGCTTTGTGTGGAGCTGGTAATATATGTGTTGTATTAACGAATATGTTGCACGCCTTTGACGTATAGTTTACATACATTCAGTGATTTGTTGAGCATTTTCTTACATCAGAAGCTGTGTTTGGTTATGACACTTTGCCCTGTGGCTTACATTAAATATTTGTTTGTGGTCGTGCTACAGGGACCCGTGAAGATTCGACTTGAATTGATCTTCAGCAACCCATACTTGTCAGAAGAGGCGACTAAAGGGAACGGTAGTCAGGCTCGATGACTTGTTAAATTGCATATATCGATGCTCATGATATTGATCACTGGAATGTCTGGCCCAGATTATGTACACACCATATTGCTGAGTGCAGCGTTAAATAGCAAACAAACAAACTGCATCCAGGTGGCGCGGGTGGTGGTACAATTCTCTGTGTAGAGTAGCGTCCCTTTGGCACGCCTGAACCACATGGTCATGGTGTTTCCCCGGTTGTGTTTCCAGGTTGGTCAGCTCCATACCCGTGGTCGTGGGTTTCACGAAAGTGGTAAATGTGAAAGAGTTTCACCACTTGAAACAGAAACAGAAACAGAAGTTTATTGTATTGGGGCCAGGAGGCCAGGAGGCCTAGAGTACAGTGTATAAGATTCAAGTTAGGATATAAATAATTTTTAGAGCGCTATAATACATAATACACAATGCCATTGAGAATCTGGTCAAATGCAACGCGTTCTGTTTGGGATCACGCCCTCCCAGCAAAGCACAGACTCCCGTACCCCTGCCGGACCGAGTCCCATCCAGGACCCGGACCCACACCCCCAAAGCCCGGCACCCACTCGCCAGCACCCAGAGTCAGCCGCCCATGGTGGGCGGACGGGCTAGGCGGCCGACCCCGTGCGCCGGCGAACAGGCGCCCCCCGCGAGCCCGAATCCCGGATGGGACCCAACCCAACAAAAGCACGAGAATCCGCACCCCGGCAAGAGAGCGCAATCCCAAACATAACCTATGTTACTCTATAATCTTGCTTTGAATACTTTATACAAGTAGGTGGCTAAGCGGAGCAATATATTACTATCTGTTGTTGATAACAAGGTAATAAAATGTGCAGTACATGGATTACTACAATAATACCTAGGTATAAAATGATCCCTAATGTGAGCGTAATTTGGACATATAAACAGAACATGATATTCATCTTCTTCACCTTCTCCGCAGTGCGGGCATAATACATCAGCAGGATTACAATTGTGAACATGTTTGTACTTAGTAACTTTAAAATTGTTTGAACAGCATCTGAACTTAGTCAAGGTCCTTCTAAATTGTACAGATTTTATACAAGTTAGATATATCTTTCAGTATTAAGCTGAGATTTAAATGTACAATATGTTGACAGTAAAGTAGAATTACTAACATCTTGATGCCAATGTTGCCTATACATGTCTAAGACACGTTGTTTAAATTCTAACATAAATGATTTACTATTTCCAACTTCTTGGCAAATCCATACAAACCCGAAGCCATGAGAAAATAATATATCCCTAACTGCTGATGCCCAGTTTATGTAGCCTATATTATCTTGTTGCTTCATGAGTAAATAACAATGCTTAACATATCTGTTACCATTCATACCGAATATCCTTAACCAAACGCTTATAACTCTTAGCTGTTGATGAATAAACAAGGGACGGCGTCCACATTCGCCTAAAGTTGCCAAGATACTTGTGCGGTAGCGAACTCTTAAAATAAATTTACAAAATTGTGTGAGGATAATTTCTAAAACTTTTCTTTCTTTTGTACCCAAAATTTCCGAACCATATATTAAAATTGGCTGAATTTTTATATCCAAAATATCAAAACAGGTATTAACATCCAAATTTTCATATTTCACCACTTGTGGCTTTCCTGATGTAGCTTGAATACTGTTCAAAGCAGGGTATTATCGAGGAAAATATAACCTCCAGCCTTAGACATGTATTGTTAGAATATATGAGAAATGTATTTCATGAAATTACGTCTGGTGCTATCTTTCTATTCAGAACATGCAGAGAACGTTTTCAATACATTGATCTTATGGATAAAACAGAAAAACACAAT